TATATATATATAAAAGACTTATTACCACCTCTTAGATGATTAACAAGTTTTCTGCCATCTTGATCATTTATGTGTGGGGCGCAGAGCTATGACTGTTCAGAGATTGTATTGAAAACAAACAAAAAGACGTGTAAAGAATTGTTATATTTTGCCATTATGTTTGATCTAAAAATAATAATAAAACATTATAGCAATATAAGAAAAAACTGTTTATAGGGTGTATGTGGCAAGAATGCCAGTTTATTATCAAAATAAATACATTTAAAAAAAATGAAACCCATCTAGACCGTGATGACTTGATGTTTTCATTTCTTATATTTTAATTGTATTTATATTAAGTCCAAATTCATCATATTTGTAAAAAATATTTTTATTTTGGAAAATGTTTGAAAATGTTTTTGATTGCTTTTGTAAACTCACATGCACTTAATATTTTTAAGTGACATTAATCGTTTTTTAAAATGTATCATTTTAATGTAACATTAATACACAAATTACCAACATTACACACGGCATGTTTAAAACAGATTTTAAAATATTTCTCCTTTTTATAATCTTAGACATCCTTATTTGTCACTGACCCATAAAAATGAATAAACACTTATTTGTCATTTATTTCTACTTTTGTTTTTCCTGGACATAATGCTCATTCCTGTTTTAAATAGATGTAGCAAGACTCTGTAATTAATGCTTGTACTTGTTTGATTTTGCACAGTAGTTGGAGTGCAAAGAGTTTCTCCCTGGCGACGATAATATTTTATCCTTTGTATTGCATGGGTACAAAAGCAGCAGCACAAAACAGCAGCTGTGAAATGGTCAACAGAGGAGTGTTCACGCAGTGTTAAGCGTGTGTGTACATGAAAGAAAAAATAGTTTCAAAGCTAACATATAGAGATGTTCATGATCAATCACTCAAACATCATTTTATTCTCATCACATTTTTATTGTAAACAAACAATTGTGAACTTATTTTCATCAGCTTTCATTCGGTCATTTTCATTTACCAAATGTCAAAAGTCATGATAGTTTGCGTGATAGTCTATTTCAGTCATTTTGCACAGTACTTGCCACATATCTTAAAGGTTATTCTCACACGTAATCCATTGCTGGGGTTACAGATCTGGCAGGGCTGTATTTGGCTGCCACGTAGGGCCTATTGTCATTGGACGGGCAGTTCCAACAAAGAAGCCCACCACCCAGCAACAAGAGGCCTCCAGATCCCCAGCCTATGTAAAGACAGGCTCCCAGCTCTCGCCGCTGGGCTGCTGTTACTAAAGGGTTGTAGAAGTCCCTGATAAGAGTGTGTGCAGACTAGCACACGGGTATCAGGACCAGAAAGCCAGCGATGATTAAAACCACCCCTGAAACGATGCACGCTTTGGCTTTGGCTGCTTCATCCTCCAAGCAGTTGGTGCACTTTCCTCCAACCATGGCCATCAGGAATCCAAAGATGTCCACCATGATGGAGATGATAACCATGGCTCTGGAAGCCTGCAGGTCTTGCAATAGAGCCAACATGGAGTTGTAGACTTTACACTGCATCTGTCCGGTGCTCTGAACCACACAGCTCCTCCATAGACCTTCCCAGATGATTTGTGCCGTGACGATGTTCACGCCAACAAAGGCTGTGACCCTCCACATTGGCATGCCACAGGTGATAATGGTCCCCAGCCAGCCTATAATGGCAAGCATGATGCCCAGGATCTGGATGCCTTGAGATGCCATTGTTGCTGGACACAGGTCACTTTATGGAATTGCCTAAATTGTCTGAGAGGTTTTAATTGTAAGGGTTTTATAGTCCTCAAACTTTGGGTGGAGTTCAAGCACAAAAAGCAAAAAGAAAACCAGATATTTGATATTCTTTGACTATTGCAAGTGTATGAAGCGCTAGTTAACATGAGACACCTTCTGGCAGTTCAAATGAATTTGAAAAAAGGAAGAAAAAATCACAGCACTAAACTCTACATCTGTACTGGTGAAGGAATTACTCAATTTCAATTTAAGAAAATCAACACAGGTAATGCATTCTGGAAAATTAAGTGTTGACATAAATATGATCACTTAATCTCTTAATAAAAAGTATAAAATAATTTTTTCGTATTTAAAAAAATATCTTAGACATACTGTAAAACAAGTGAAAGTATTCATGCAAAGTTTCACAAAAATTGCTTTTTCTGGTTAAAAATTTGCAACACATTTGTGTGGTAATTCGTAACTATTTTGCGTTTTGGCAAATTGGTGGCTAACTCGTATAAATTCGAATGATCTAATGTGTACGTTTTCATACAATCTTGCACCAGAAAAATCGTAAGTTTCTGTACAAATAACATTGTACAAATTCATACAAAATCACCTCATAAAATAGTAATGTTTTCTCATGAGATTGAATTGAAAACTCCAAATCAGTGTAATTCTACACTCTTGTTTGCTACCACAATTCAAATTTGAATTCTGAATGGTGCACAAGCCCGGTTGCAATTGGCATTCACAATGGCAAATTTCACTTGTTTTGTGGAGGAAAAAAACAAAAACAAATGGTCCATAATTTGTCTAATTAATAGCAATTTGGAAACACAAGCCAAACCTCAGATCAGGGCTGCTTTCAGCCCTGACAAAATGGTGAAAAATGTTTTTTAAACAGAAACGGTGGTGCGTTCTGATGACGCAAGAGTTGCAGCTATGGCAGCTGAGAAGGCCATTATTTGTGTTCTTTTTGAAGAATTTTCGGAGCCTGATGAAATCGGTAGGCTATAAATGCAAGTTTAATACTGCAAAATAGGCTCGATGTTACAGTCACTGCCCTTGCCGTCCAGAATAAAAGAGAACATCCCAATCGAATGAAGGGATTTGTGGAAACTGTGGTTCTTAACTATTGTGATCCAACATTTGCCTCGTATTTCAGAATGAAAAGACGAACATTTCAGGTGAAGGTTAATCCACTTCTTCCGATACTGTGTTATGATCTATATGACCGTATTATTTTAATTGTGAGTATTATCTATTGGCGCTTTTCCACTGCATGGTACGGCACGGTACGGCTCCGGACGGGTCACTTTTGGGGGATTTTCCACTGGGTACAGTACCTGGTGCCTGGTACTTTTTTAGTACCACCTCGGTTGGGGTTCCAAGTGAACTGTACCGTTACCAAAACATGACGTGTAAACTCTGCTGATCACGGATTGACCAGAGAGAATCGTCATTACCTGCGTCACTGAACTTGTGACACAAACACAACAGTACCCCCCTTCTCTCCATCAGCACAGCCAGCGAAGGATCGAACGCAACTGTTTTGAACGAGCGCACCTTTTTTTAACAACCAAAAAGTTTTGTTGTCTGTTGTGGAAGAACAGACGTTTCTCTCATTGATAGCAGAGAGCTTGATGGGGCGACGCGGAATGAAAACGTTTTTTTTAGGAGTCGTGGTAGTAGAGGCGGCGCAACTATAACGACATGTGAATAATCCCGTCCACTCTAAAGCGGTACTGAACTGCAGTGGAAACGCAAACTGTGCCGAGCCGAACCGTGCCGAGCCGAGTCGTACCACGCAGTGGAAAAGCGCCATATATTGCTGATCACTGTTGTTGTGCTATGCTATTGTAATATTTACCATTATACAATCAGATGAGTATAGAAAAGTTTTTGAAAGTGTCACTCCACAATACAATAGCAAAATATATGAATATGTATGGTATTTTTATGTTACATTATTAATCAGTGTCTAGCACACCTTCCTAAGGAAAGGATATGGACCAGAAGACATTGCAATTACTAAATGATATTTAGAAAGACTTAAAGAAGTTCCAGATCTATACTTGTGCTCTTATTATTTCAGTTATTTTGCCTTTAATGTAAATAAACATGTGCAAACAATATACTTGCTCTTGTGAATTTATTTTTATGTTAATTACATTGTGCAAGCTGTCTCTTTAATACCGCGTGGTTTATATACTGTACATGTTGCTGCTGATTGGGCTGTCATTTTTCACACCCACTAAACAAGAGAAAACGTATCTCAAACCCTGTTGCGCACCGGAGCACACCGTTTCCAGGAAACATGTCGTTCAACCCGGAAACTGTAGCAAAACGTTGCGCACCGGTTTGAGTTTGAACTTGCCCCATGCTTTAGCCTTGGCTTATTATTCGCATTGGCTCTGAAAAAGAACCTGAAAAACCACACCTGTTCTGGATTTGTCGTTTGACAACTCCCTCTAAGAATGTTTTGTAAATGGGGACTTTTTTGAAATCTTTTAATTGCCACAGGGTCGGTGACACATAATGGAGGGCTGCAATATGACACCCGTGTTAACGCCCAAGCAAATGCATTTTATATAGTTAATAGACAGTTGTGATACAAATATATATATATATATATATATGTATACACACTTTAAATGTGTTATTGTAAGTTGGTCAAGAGCGACAGGCTCCTATTATTCTATGGCGTTTTTGTGTAGTTTTCAGTCCAAAATGGCGGCGGCACATTCACGTCATGGGCGCAACTGTTGCTATGGAGCGTTCTATTGAGTTTCGCCTCTTGGGCTTCACACTGGGATCAGACACAGCACTCCAGCAATGATGAAAATCACACCAGCAGTGATACCGACCTTAGATTTGGCACTCTCGTCTTCAACGCAATTGGTGCATTTGCCTCCAGCCATGGCCAGCATGATGCCCAGGATCCCAATCACGATGGAAATGATGGTGAGGGCACGGGCAGCCTGAAGGTCTGAGGAAAGGGCCAGCATGGAGTCGTAGACTTTACACTGCATCTGTCCGGTGCTCTGCACAACGCAGTTCATCCAGATTCCCTCCCATGAAGTCTGTGCCGTGATGATGTTACTACCAATGAAAGCTGTGACTTTCCACATGGGAATAGCACAGACCACAATGACACCGATCCATCCTATGATGGCCAGGGCGGTGCCCAGTAACTGAAGCCCAGCAGACACCATGATTTTTGTCTCTTGTTAAGTCTCTTGAGGTGGCTCTCTGCACTGCTTACAGGTGTATGTCTCAGAAAGGCTGCGTGCTGATGCTTTAAAGGAGCCTGTGAAGCTTTGGGGGAGGGACTTTTGTAGATTGACTCGCTCTGCTGGTTTTGTAGTTACTTCATGGGGTGCGACTAAGCCAAGGCTTGAATGAGTCACTGCCATGACATTTTTTGTTGCGGACGCAGTACCTTATATGGCTTTCTCTAAATATTATTAACCCTTAAAAATTTAAATATCTATGTAAAAATCTATGGAAGGATCAGTAAAATATACTAAGAACATGTGCATTGCACTACTAAGAAAACAAATATATATTTTTTTTTCAAGGACAGAATATAAGACATGAAGTGCCACTGACAGGAAGTAATCATGTTCCCGGGGGACACAAAACAATGTATTGGAACTACTTTTGGAAATTGTTGTGGGATCTCAGAACTCATCACTTAGTGAACTAATATCAATAAATGTAAATTAGCTTATATAAAAAGTATTATTCAATTAAATAAAAAATGACATTAATGTATACATTTTTTTTACCTTTTATTTGACCTTTTTAATGATAACTTTTATATTTTTTTGATTATTTCATTTTTAAAATAAAATTATTAAATAAAAATATCAATATAATAAGCAGATATAATATTTATGATGAATTTAGATATTTTATAGTTAAATTTTAAATATATTTATTTACACAAACGTAAACAATACACATAAACAATATATTCTAATTATATATTCATATATATATATATATATATATTACAAATGTGGTGCAGGATTTACTTTGAAACAATTTTCACTCAGAAATTGCTCAAATAATTACAAAGAAGTAGAAAGACTGAAATAGTATTTTCTTGTAATATGTACACAATACTCTTTGTTTTATTTACAACATTTTTTAATTTATTTTTTAGAGTGTATAGGGAATTGTGTCCACAGCAAGGACCACTATCATATTTCTCTCTTTAGGTTTGTGCTATGTGCTCCCTCGTGGTCTACAAAGTATTATAAGCAGATATAATATTTATGATGAATTTAGATATTTTATAGTTAAATTTTAAATATATTTATTTACACAAACGTAAACAATACACATAAACAATATATTCTAATTATATATTCATATATATATATATATATATATATATATTACAAATGTAGTGCAGGATTTACTTTGAAACAATTTTCACTCAGAAATTGCTCAAATAATTACAAAGAAGTAGAAAGACTGAAATAGTATTTTCTTGTAATATGTACACAATACTCTTTGTTTTATTTACAACATTTTTTAATTTATTTTTTAGAGTGTATAGGGAATTGTGTCCACAGCAAGGACCACTATCATATTTCTCTCTTTAGGTTTGTGCTATGTGCTCCCTCGTGGTCTACAAAGTATTAAGAAAGTGGCAACTGGTTTCATATGACACAATAGAGACATGGAGATGTTTTCCCTAGGTTGAAGATTATCTCATCACACTCAATTCAGGTCAAAGATATCTCAAGTAAAACTTTGTTACTTCTGGATATGACACATATGTAACAAATGCTATATTGACTTAGTGTCTTACTCAGCACGTTAGCAATTCCCATGGCAACTATTTCTCAAGAGTTCCCTGACATTGTGCCTCAGTGAGGGGGAGGAGCAGCCCAAATGCACCTGTACCCACCTGAGCAGGTCAAAGCGGTTTCAGCTGGAGCACACGTGAAATGTTGAGACTTTGTCTGGGCAAGACTGAACAGCTCATCACAGATCGTCACATCAACAAACCTGTTTAACTGACAATAACAGAGAATAATCAAATCTTGTAGACAACACAGTTTGTGTGTGTATATAAGCTACACGCTGCTCTAATAAAGCAAGGAGAGAAAAATGAGAAACAATTTAATTCTTATCCACAACATGAAGCCTCATTTACAAAGAGAAGTGAATGAGTTGAAATTATTCCTATTATGCTGTGAACAACAAATATAAAAGATCTGAATGGGAGGAACAAAAATATATTACATTATACATGAATAAATAAATAAATAAAGGTGTAAAGAAGATCTGTAAAGTTGCAAAGACTAAAGTCTCAAATCCAAAGAGATATTCTTTATAAAAGTTCAGAGTCAGCCACGCCTACCTAAAACGGCTCGTTCTAACACGCCCCCACATATCTACGTCACAATGTGGGAAGATTTGCATAACGCCGCCCAAATGTTCACGCAAAGAAAGAAGGCGTAACTTTTATTCTCACTGTAGTATTGTTGACGCTGCAGCCATGTCGTGAAGACACTGTGTGCTTCATTGTGAAAGCGAAACTACTTTGTTGTGATACTGCTGAGATTGCAAGCACAGAATGCAATTCAGAAAGTTAACCTACATTTTCACATATACAAATACAAACAGTATTACTTAATACAGCTTAGTATGACGTAATACTTAAGTTAAAAAAATATAATTTTCATGTTCACAATGTATTACATGCGATTGACACTGTTTTGTATTGTAAATGTATGCCCACTAGTGGCTACATATGTAATTGCATTGAAGACTGAAGGCCGAGATCAGTGATGCAGCTTGTCCAACGCACACGTGTTTCGTCGTTTTATTGTTTTATTATTGCTTTATTTATTCAAGTTCTGTCACATACGTCACCTCAAAACTCGCAATGAGGGTCGGTTCTGTTCCTTCTTGTGTAACAATCAGCTCCGAAACCGAAAACAAGGAGGAGAAACGGGAAAACAAACCATCTTCAAACTTTTGATAAGTTATTGATATAATTTGTCGTGAGGTGAAAGTGTCTTTCAGACCCCCTGTACGCGCGGAGTTTAGTCCGTTTTTTGTTGTTGTTGTTTTGTTTTTTGGCGATAGATTAATACTGCAACCAAAAACTTGTAAAATGTTGTAAAACATATTGTGCTTGCTGGGTCATGGAAGTAGAAAGGTGATTCCAGCTGTTTAAAAAGAAAATAAACAATTACAAAATAATACTAATAATAAAACATTAATTCTACTTTGGAAATAATTACAAATACTACCAGTAAAGTGGCCAATGGAGTGCCACAGGAATCACTGTTCTCTTTAAAAGACTAAAACACGGTTCTGTTCTCTTTAAAAGAACAATATCTTCCCACTGAAACTCATTAGTCATCAACATCATGGTGCCTCACAGAAACTCATTTCAATATTATCAGTGTTTTCTAACAAGGAAGTAGGCCAACACACTGCAAATGATGTCATGTTCACCTATCAAACACAGACCAGTTTCAGGCAGTCTTGTGAAAACATGGCAATAACCATTTCTTCTCTTTTATTTTTTACTTCACATAAAAGGTTATATGGGTTTGGCATTTGTACTAAAAAGCTCTCTGGGTGTGTCCGTGTTGAGAACCGCAGTTTTTATTGAATGTCCAGTAAAATGTTTATCAAGTTCCTCATATCAAATAGGTTGTTTATGAACTTGGTGGATTAATCAAATGTTTACTAATTCAGAGTCTGGTTTAAACACATCACTGTATGTATTTACATGAAATTTCCCATGTGCATTCATTGCACTGTAAGTCTTTACATGTGTCAGATATCATTAAACAGATGACCCTCTCTGTTGTCACTGAAGTTGTCTTATCAGGAAATAATTAATTAGTCAATACTGTTTAGCAAATACACAAATCCTACATTCTACAGGCCAAAAGATATCAAGTAGCCTATAAACAAAACAAGATAAAACGACTAAATACCGTAGAATAAATGAGCCATTAGAGGAAGCAGATTAATAAATAAAATGTCAATTGAAAATTTTTTTTGCAATAATTTTGAAGGGGACAAATAGCACTTTATGGTATTAATATAATGATGCTTTGGACAAAATGTAACTTAATTCATCTTCACCCCCATGATCATTCTGTGAAAGCACACATTGAGAGCTTTAACATTTGTGTGGTTTTGGTATTGATAAGTATTTAATATCAATGTCATGATAAAAGCATGAGTAAAGTTTTGGCCTTTTGGTTTAACAACAACTTTGTTATACTTTTGTAAGCAGTAACACTCATTTTCAACATTGCCACACATTCCTGCTTTCATAAGTGTGTAGACATCTGAAGAATCGTGTCTTTTTCTCCAAAGTGAACAAAGCTTGAACTGTAATACACATTGACATAATATGATAGGTCACCACAGTTTCACTTTATCTGCTCTCTCTCAGCATGTTTTGCATTTTTAAACTAAAACTGTCTAACCTCCTCATTTACGCACATATGGACGTAGCCTATCAGGGAGAGTAACGTTAGACTACAATGCCGGCAGTTCTGACTCACGTAAGTGCGTTTTCATTTGAAGGATTTGCCACTGATGATTCAAACGCGAATTTGGGGCAGTGTAGAGTAGCACTTGTTGTTTGTAATTTCTCCGATCACAAATGCAGACAGAGTTTTAGGTTTACGCGGCGCGATCCAGTGCAACGCAACGTGTAAAAAGACAGTATAAGTCATTATAATAAGTAATTATGTCCCCACTGGATGCAACAAATGCCTCGTTTGTAATAAATCACTGTTCTCTTTAAAATACTAAAACACTGTTCTGTTCTCTTTAAAAGAACAATATCTTCCCACTGAAACTCATTAGTCATCAACATCATGGTGCCTCACAGAAACTCATTTCAATATTATCAGTGTTTTCTGAGAAGGAAGTAGGCCAACACACTGCAAATGATGTCATGTTCACCTATCAAACACAGACCAGTTTCAGGCAGTCTTGTGAAAACATGGCAATAACCATTTCTTCTCTTTTATTTTTTACTTCACATAAAAGGTTATATGGGTTTGGCATTTGTACTAAAAAGCTCTCTGGGTGTGTCCGTGTTGAGAACCGCAGTTTTTATTGAATGTCCAGTAAAATGTTGATCAAGTTCCTCATATCAAATAGGTTGTTTATGAACTTGGTGGATTAATCAAATGTTTACTAATTCAGAGTCTGG